CCTCATCCAACCGCTCCCTGTCCCCTGACTGCCCCTCAGGACCTCCTGCCCCTTTATCCAACCTCCGCTCCCTTACCATACCACTCAGAGCAGCAGCACAGGCTTATTGGAAAGCCTGAGAGGTGGGCGGGCACAAGCCATGCTACCCAGCAGGAGCGGCGGGCCAGAGCGCTGCCTGCACAGCGGCATGGCTGCGGGGGAGGGGGGAACAGCAGGGGAGAGGCCTCCCCAGCCAGGAGCTCAAGGGCCAGGCAGGACGGTCCCGTGTCGTTTGCCCACCCCTGTCCTAGGTGCTCCAGTGTGGGGCTGGGCACTGGAACAGACAGAAGGGAGCCCATCTCTCCTGTGCTCTTGATGAGCCCCTGGTGCCACTCAGGTAGCATGGAGAAGGAAGCAGTCAGATTCAAGTGCCAAGGGGACAAGAGTCAGACCTAGGATTGGGACAAAAAGCCTGGAGCAGAGACCGAAACTGGAGACTGGCGGGGGGGGGGGGGGGGGGGGAGCAAGGGTAGAGACTAGGGGGTTGTCTAGGCTTAAAAAGAGACACATAGCTGCACCACTACAGCTGTCCTACTGTAGCACTTCAATGTAGACACTACGTATACTGAGGGGAGGGGTTCTCTGTCAGTGTAGGTATCAGCCTCCCAGAGAGCTGGTAGCTACATCAACAGAATTCTTCTGTTGACCTAGTGCTAGCTACACTAGAAAATTAGGCTGTCTTAACGCCCTCACTCAGGAGTGTGGATTTTTCACACCCGACTGACATAATTAAACTGACCTAATTTTCTAGTGTAGACTAGGACTAGGGTGGGAGCAGGGAGGAAACACAGATCTGACAAAGAGCCAGAACACAGGGGGATCACTGGGACAAGGAGCCAGGGGGAGAAGACAAGACTAACTGGAGGAGAAGCCTGGGTAGGGAGTCTAGGAATAGGGCTCAGTAGGGATGGGGAACATGAGCAGAGAGGACCAGTGTAAAAACAGAATTAGGAAGACCAAAAAAAGATTTGAGAACAGCTAGCCAAAGACTCAAAAAGTAATAGCAAAAAAATGTTAAGTACTCCTTAAGCAAGAAGCCTGCTAAATAAGCAGTGGGGCTACTGGACAATCAAGGTTCTAAAGGAGGAGAACTCAAGAATGATACGGCCATTGCAGAGAAACTAAATAAATTCTTCGCATCAGTCTTCATGGCTGAGAATGTGAAGGAGATTCCCAAACCTGAGCCCTTCTTTTTAGGTGATAAATCTGAGGAACTGTCCCAGATTGAGGTGTTATTAGAGGTGGTTTTGGAACAAACTGATAAACAGTAATAAGTCATCGGGACCAGATGGTATTCACCCAAGAGTTCTGAAGGAATTCAAATGTGAAATTGCAGGACTACTAACTGTGGTTTGTAACCGGTCATTTAAATCAGCTTCTGTACCAGTTGACTGCAGGATAGCTAAGGTGACACCAATTTTTAAAAAGGGCTCCAGAGGAGATCCCAGCAATTACAGGCTCGTAAGCCTGACTTCAGTACTGGGCAAACTGGTTGAAAATATAGTAAAGAACAGAATCTCAGACACATAGATAAACATAATTTGTTGGGGAAGAGTCAACATGGTTTTTGTAAAGGAAAATCATGCCTCACCTATCTACCAGAATTCTTTGAGGGAGTCAGCAAACATGTGGACAAGGGGGATCCAGTGTAGTTAGATTTTCAGAAAGACTTGGACAAGGTCCCTCACCAAAGGGTCTTAAGTAAGCAGTCATGGGATAAGAGGTAAGGTCCTCTAATGGATCAGTAACTGGTTAAAAGATAGGAACCGAAGGGTAAGAATAAACCGTCATTTTTCAGAATGGAGAGAGAAAACAGTGGTGTCCCACAGGGGTCTGTATTGGGACCAGTCTTATTCAACATATTCATAAATGATCTGGAAAAAGGGGTAAACTGTGAGGTGACAAAATTTACAGATGATACAAAACTACTCAAGATAGGTAAGTCCCAAGCAGACTGCGAAGAGTTACAAAGGGATCTCACAAAACTGTGTAACCGGGCAACAAAATGGCAGATGAAATTCAGTGTTGATAAATGCAAAGTAATGCACACTGGAATCTCATAATCCCAACTATACATCTGAAATGACTGGGTCTAAATTAGCTGTTACCACTCAAGAAAGAGATCTTGGAGTCATTGTGAACATCCATACTTCTCTGAAAACATCCACTCCATGTGAAGCAGCAGTCAAAAAATCTAACCATGTTGGAAATCATTAAGAAAGGGATAGATAAGATGACAGAAAATATCATATTGCCTCTATATAAACCCATGGTACACCCACATCTTGAATACTGCGTGCAGATGTGGTTGTCCCATCTCAAAAAAGATATTAGAATTGGAAAAGATTCAGAAAAGGGAACAAAAATTATTAGGGGGTATGGAACAGCTTCCATATGAGGAGAGATTAATAAGACTGGGACTTTTCAGTTTGGAACAGAGACGACTAGGCAGGGATAGGATAGAGGTCTATAAAATCATGATGGGCATAGAGAAAGTAAATAAGGAAGTGTCATTTACGACTTCTCATGACACAAGAACTAGGGGGTCACCAAATGAAATTAATAGGCAGCAGGTTTAAAACAAACCAAAGGAAGTAATTCTTCACACAATGCACAGTCAACCTGTGGAACTCTGCCAGAGGATGTTGTGAAGGCCAAGACAGGGTTCAAAAAAGAACTAGATAAATTCATGGAGGATAGGTCCATCCATGGCTATTAGCTAGGATGGGCAGGGGTGGTGTCCCTAAGCTGTTTGCCAGAAGATGGGAATGGGTGACGTGATCCCTGTTCATTCCCTCGGAAGCACCTGGCATTGGCCACTGTCGGAAGATCGGTTACTTTGGTCTGACCCAGTACAGCCATTCGTATGTTAACTGGGGGAATCATTCCTATTACAGTCTAGTTTATTTGTGCTGGCAGAGGACAATCTGTGAAGCCATGAAGAAGTGTTGCATCCTCCTTAATGGATACACACATACACAAGAGGACAGAGTTAATGTTGCACATGCAGCACTGAACTCTGGTATGGCCTGACTTTTGCGCACACACACACACACACACCTGAACATACTAGCAATGTCTTTTAAAAACAAAAAATGGAATTACATTTTATAACACTACCCTGAGTTGTAGTAAGTGGATGATCACATAACAAAACTGACCACCTGCAAAATCTCATTACTGTAACATTTTTCTCCAAGATCTTCAATATTTATTAATATTACAATAGCGGTAGCAGTGTTTCTCAAATGTGGCAACCAGGGGCTTTCTTGCAGCCACAGCCTCCTGGGCAATGATTGAGGGTGGGTTAAAGCAGTGGCCCCTCCCACAGGGCCACCAGCAGTGGTTGGGCCCTGCTTCCCTCTGGAGACACAAAAGCTGGAGGAGCAGGAGACCAGCGAGTTCCCCACCTTCCCAGGGGCAGTGGGTTGGGCTTCAGCCCTGGGGAGGCAGATTCCAGCCACGGCGCTTCGGGCTTCATTCCCCGGCCACAAGATGGTGGGCTCTGGCCCCGAGCTCACCACTCCCCATCACCCCTGGCCCCCACTGCCTCCCCCAATGCCCTTTCGCCCCTGACCCCCTCTGCCTACGAACCCACTTCCACATCCAGGGCTCGCCAGGGTTGAGTAAGTCTGCTGTAAAAAGTGATATTTGAATGTTTGTTAATATCACTTTTCACAGACTTAGTATCTAGCAAGTCTAAAGAAAATAGCAGCCAAAACAACCAAGGGGGGGGGGGGGAGACGAGAATGTGCAAAACACCTTTTTTCTATTCTGTTTAGGTCCAGTAAAGAATAGAGACAACTGTGCATTCTTTTTATTATTGAGTCTGGGAAAAAAAAATCCTACATGAATAAATTACAATGGATTTGGACATGGGTATGCGCACATTTATTTGTTTTTCCTAAAGTTAATTAAGTATTTTAGGAAAAATTGTCAGAGCGGCCACCAGCAAGGGTTGGTGGCCGCACTCTAAGGACACCAAAAAAATTGATGGGAGAACCCCTTATCTAAAGGTTAGGGCTCCACTGTGCACGGCACTCTGCAGACACAGTATAAGGGACCCCGGCCAAAAGTTTACAATCTATACAGAGAAGACAAAAGGTGAGAGGAGAAACTGAGGCACAGAAGTGTGACATGACTTCCCCAATGTCACATAGGAAGTCACTGGCAGGGCCAGGAACAGGACCCCACAGACATGAGTTCAAGTTTAGTGCCCCGTCCATCAGATCACACTGCCTCAGAAGTTTTGCAGAATCTTTACAGATGCCTCTGAACCTATTTTAAGCAGCTTTTGCAGAAGCTGGTTGTGTGAGATTCAACTTACTGAGTCAACTCATTAATTGCCAAGTACTGGTTATTTAGTGTGTCATTCTGATTACTGTACATGCACTTTTGATTGGCATGTACACATGCATGCATTTGTAAAAATCTTCCATTTTATGTATTTAAGATATCTGTAATGCAAGTAAGTACATATCATTTTTAAAAATAAAAGTATTTTACATGGATGCATCCCTTTAAAATGTGGGTCTGATTCTGCTCTCAGTGGGGCAAAATAAGGAGCAGCTCCATTAAAATCATTGGAATTATACTGGTGCAACTGGGATCAGGATGAGACATCCTTACTCTGAAGGCAGCACTCACATCTATGCCAAAAGGGAGAAGGAGGAGGGGAAACAACCCCCTCCCCCCAAAAAAAAACAAAAAAAAAAACCCTTGCCCTGGGAGGGAGGGGGACCAAAAAAAAAAATTCCAAGGAAACTCCTTGAAGTGACCCTCCCTTACCAGAGCCTCTAGTCCACACTATAAGTGATCCTAACCTAAGCCATGGGAAAGGTACGAACTCCTCCCAGCATCAGGAAAAACCCTGAAGTCTTATCAAAATCTTTTCTTTACTAAATAAATAAGTAAAAAGTAAGTAAATAAATAAATAAATTCCATGTCCAAATCGTACTTACAGTTCACAAAGTGCTGGAAGGTAATTCTCAATCTCTGTGTAAAGTCTATGTGTGAAGTGCAGAGCCAAGCAAATTTTAAAGAAGTGTCTCCTCAGTCATTCTAAAGGAAGAACAGTCAAAAGTAAAAAATAAAATGAAAAGGGAGTAGTATATGGAGCTGCTTGTGATCAGCCATGTGAGCAAAGGAAGAGTATTATCTGAGAATAAACATTATCCCAATGCTTTTGAAAAACGCTCAGTAACTCTTTATAAAGTCTTCAGAAGATATTGACAAACTCCTCCACAGTCAGAACTAGAGTTCTGGGTGGCATCAGCCTTTAGTCCATTTGGGTGGGGTAAGAGAAAAAACCCAACCTACTTCTCTCAATTTCCTTCCTTTGAGGATTCTTCTCCTCAGGTTTTTAGATTTGTGAAGAATTCTGACCTTTTAGATGCTGAGATAGTAAACAGATCCTACCTGAGCAACAAAAGCCCTACCCCTTCTGAGCTGGAAGCATTAGAGATTAAAGTCTTCCAGTTATCAGCAGTACAGGTAAACATATCACAATACCAGCATTTTCCAGGGATGAGAGGGAGTTCAGTTTCCATCCCTCATTCAGCCAGGTCACTTCCCGCCCCCGCCATCCCAAGGACTAGCAACCTGAGATTATAATTGCCAAAGGGTGCGCTGATCCTTTTGAAGTAACAGCACTACCACCACCAGACTAATTACAAAAGGCCACCAAACAGCTCTCACATCTACATTAGTGATTAACCATTACTGACATGGAGTGAAACCCTGCCTGCATTTAAGTCAATGAGACCAGGATTTCACCCTTGGATTTAATACAAGCCTAGATATGAAAGGCTCTATATATCCCCATAACCTATTTCTAAACCAATCTCTGGTCTAAACCATGAAGCTTCAAAGACAAGATCCTTCCTAGAGAAGAAGATTATTAAGGTGCTGAACTGGTACTCAGGAGACCTGAGTTCAACCCAGGGCTCTGCTACAGACTTACTGAGTAACCTTAGACAAGTTACTACGGCTATGTCTACACCTACCATTTAAAGTGCAAAAAGTCCTTTTGCACTTGAACTGCGGGAGCATCTACACTTGTTAATGACTTTTTGCGATGAAACTCAGAACTTTCATAGCAAAAAGAAAACCACCTTCACGAAAGGCATACAGCTCTTACCACTGTTCTTTTTGCACTGTTGTAAAAGTGAAAACACATTCTACCAGTGTAAACACCTTTTGGCCTCAGAAGGCTATCCCACAGTTCCAAAAGTGACCATTCTGGCCAGCATCTCCGCTGCTCTGACGCCAGGTAAACAGATGTCTGCCCCCCATAAGCCCCATGAAGTTTGAAACTCCCTTTCCTTTTGCTTGTAGATATGGCAGGAAAAGCAGCCAGATAGTAGGGGGTTTTAAAAAAAAAAATGCCACAAGAAACAAGGAAGTAATGGGGCTGCTGGGACATCAAGCAGGGCAGCACAGGGCACTGATCAAAGACCCAGAATGCCTTCCGCTCACCCCCCTCTCCCTTCCCACAAGACTTATCAAGAGAGCTGCACTGTGGGATAGCTGCCCTACAGCGCTGCTCTCATCAGTGACGGAAGTGCTGTTCGTGTAAACACACTCTACTCACTTAATTCTTCAGGGGTCACACAAACCAGCGCTTTCCCTATCACCGGTGAAATTTATAGCACAAAAACTCTGCAAGTGTAGACATACCCTTAATCTCTCTGTACCACAGTGCCTTATCTATAAAATAGGGATAATAATCCTCCCCTGCCTCATAGGAGTGTAGTGATGTTAAATCCAAACAGATATGAGGTGCTCAGATACTGCATTAATAAGGTTAATAGAAAAAAAGGATGCATACACACACTAAATAAAATAAGTACTTAAATTGGCTGAAAAAAGTTTTTTGATAAAAAAAAGTTAGTTGAAAAAATGGACAAGCCTTTCACAATTTTAGTATCTTTTAGAAAAGAAGAAAGCAGAATAGCTGCTTCCAGATAATTCCTGCATAGGTCTAGAATTGGCATCTTTTCATAGAAGAGTGCAAGAGTCAGGCCTTGCCAGCATAATCCTTGTTTTCTCTTTCTAAATAGTTAGGGACTATTTAGAAAAGCTGGACGTGCACAAGTCCATGGGGCCCGACGAGTTGCATCCGAGAGTGCTAAAGGAATTGGTGGCTGTGATTGCAGAGCCATTGGCCATTATCTTTGAAAACTCGTGGCGAACCGGGGAAGTCCCGGATGACTGGAAAAAGGCTAATGTAGTGCCAATCTTTAAAAAAGGGAAGAAGGAGGATCCTGGGAACTACAGGCCAGTCAGCCTCACCTCAGTCCATGGAAAAATCATGGAGCAGGTCCTCAAGGAATCAATCCTGAAGCACTTGCATGAGAGGAAAGTGATCAGGAACAGTCAGCATGGATTCACCAAGGGAAGGTCATGTCTGACTAATCTAATCGCCTTCTATGATGAGATTACTGGTTCTGTGGATGAAGGGAAAGCAGTGGATGTATTGTTTCTTGACTTTAGCAAAGCTTTTGACACGGTCTCCCACAGTATTCTTGTCAGCAAGTTAAAGAAGTACAGGCTGGATGAATGCACTATAAGGTGGGTAGAAAGTTGGCTAGATTGTCGGGCTCAACGGGTAGCGATCAATGGCTCCATGTCTAGTTGGCAGCCGGTGTCAAGTGGAGTGCCCCAAGGGTCGGTCCTGGGGCCGGTTTTGTTCAATATCTTCATAAATGATCTGGAGGATGGTGTGGATTGCACTTTCAGCAAATTTGTGGATGATACTAAACTGGGAGGAGTGGTAGATACGCTGAAGGGCACGGATAGGATACAGAGGGACCTAGACAAATTGGAGGATTGGGCCAAAAGAAATCTGATGAGGTTCAATAAGGATAAGTGCAGGGTCCTGCACTTAGGACGGAAGAACCCAATGCACAGCTACAGACTAGGGACCGAATGGCTAGGCAGCAGTTCTGCGGAAAAGGACCTAGGGGTGACAGTGGACGAGAAGCTGGATATGAGTCAGCAGTGTGCCCTTGTTGCCAAGAAGGCCAATGGCATTTTGGGATGTATAAGTAGGGGCATTACCAGCAGATCGAGGGACGTGATCGTCCCCCTCTATTCGACATTGGTGAGGCCTCATCTGGACTACTGTGTCCAGTTTTGGGCCCCACACTACAAGAAGGATGTGGATAAACTGGAGAGAGTCCAGCGAAGGGCAACAAAAATGATTAGGGGTCTGGAACACATGAGTTATGAGGAGAGGCTGAGCGAACCGGGATTGTTTAGTCTGCAGAAGAGAAGAATGAGGGGGGGATTTGATAGCTGCTTTCAAATACCTGAGAGGTGGTTCCAGAGAGGATGGTTCTAGACTATTCTCAGTGGTAGAAGAGGACAGGACAAGGAGTAATGGTCTCAAGTTGCAGTGGGGGAGGTTTAGGTTAGATATTAAGAAAAACTTCTTCACTAGGAGGGTGGTGAAACACTGGAATGCATTACCTAGGGAGGTGGTAGAATCTCCTTCCTTAGAAGTTTTTAAGGTCAGGCTTGACAAAGCTCTGGCTGGGATGATTTAGTTGGGGACTGGTCCTGCTTTGAGCAGGGGGTTGGACTAGATGACCTCCTGAGGTCCCTTCCAATCCTGATATACTATGATTCTACCGCATCAGGGAGAGGGAAAAACAAAACAGAATAAAAAGGTATCTTTTCGGAGAGACCAGACCATGCCCGGGAACATGTGCAAGAGAAATGTCAGTCAACATACTGTTCAGACAAATAAGCTGCTGAACAAGGAATGCTGCAGCACATTTATAAAGAGATGGGCCCAAATACCCCCAGACCTTAGAGAAGTTTGGACACGACCTCCACAGCTCAGGCCCATTTCTAATACTATTCAGAAACGTTTTCTCCCCTTCTGTCACATTACTAGAGATGTCCTTATGAAAATAGCATTGATCAATCAGATTTTGCTGCTTAGTCACTACCTGAGCCCATAATCCTGTTTGTAACTGGAGACAAGTCCCTCCATCCCTCCCCCACCTCCACCCACAAATTCAGATTGCAACTTTCCAAAAGTCTGGGGAGGTTTGGCTCCTGGGGTGTGCTTTGGATTCATCTCTGGGCTGAATTCTACATTACTCTTATCCCCGCAAATTCTTATGGGAGTAAATGGGAATATTGGTGGCATAAAGGATACAGGATTTACTCCTCTATTTATAACATTGTGGTTGCCATGATTATGATTATAAAGTCATGCACAGGGGATAGTAACTTCAAGTGGGGATTAAGCAGCATGAAATGATGAAATCCTAGGGAACAGATCTTATTTAAGACTCCCTAGTGATTAAATAAGAGAGGGAAGAGAAATATAGTGTAGCTAGAGCCCCTCATTCCAAAGAGTTATTACCAGTACAGAGAGAACATGATCTCTCCTGTTCTGTAATCACTAGACTAATCAGGACTTCTGGATTCAGTACCATTGGCTTACTGCAAGATCTTGGGCAAGTCACTTACCCTCCCTTTCAGGTTTCTTCCTCTGTAAAATGGGAAGAAGTTACGGGTAATGTTTTGTGGGCAGAATTCTTTTTTGCATGTGAAAAGTTTTCTTAAGAGCTAATAACTGGAATCAGACAGATACAAAATACATAAAATGCAGCATTAAAGTTATTAAAAAGGAAACTTATGAGCAAGCCAATGATGCACAGAAAAGTTAGGAAAGCCACCAATGCTTCTGAACAGGCAAAATCAGGGGTCACCACAAGGTCTGATTCTTAAAGTTAGATATGAAAGGTGCATTAGATCATCTTGTCCCCTAGAGTATGTCATTTCCTAATGCTTTGTCCACACCAGTTTTCAGTGGCAAAAGCAGTAGGTTTTTACTATAACTCGTCCTGCAAAGCCAGTCCATGGTAGAGCAATCTGGATTTTGTTCTGCCTTGCACATTAAAAATATAATCATCAGTTGATGTCGGACTGCAGAATCTTTATGACAGGTGATGCTGCAAGAGGGAAAAAAACAGCTTGATGTTCAGATGTAGTTAAAAATATCAATACAACCCTTTCAAGTCTCAATATTCACAGACCAGCAA